CACCCTGTATAGCTTTATATTTTTCATAAGTTTCACGGTATATTTTTTTTTTTACCCAATAGCTATTTTTTATTTTTCATTAATATTGATATAAACGCGTTGGTAGTTAATAATTACGTATTTTTTTTGAACAACGATACTAATTATCTTAATAATGGCACCTATACTCTAGCATTTGTATAGAGTTATAATTGAAAATTATGCTTATCCTACAATTATCACCACCCACTTCAGATTTCTATTTCCACTTTCGGAATAATCGAAATAAAGAGATTGAAATAAATCAACTTATTGGCCGATTGGATACTGTTTACGAGTACCTATATCATATAATTCAGTCTTTGGTATAATAATAATAGTCTGTTCTCTCGACCCGYAAACGATGACAATGGCATTTCAATTTCTTTTCTGCACGGCGTTTATATTGTCTCTGTATACAGCCTATATTGTAGTGTAAGTGTAATACAGTAAATAACAGACATAATAATATTGTATCAGATTTATGATTTAATATTTTCATTTTTCTAAATTTCTTCTCCTCCCCAAGAAATTGAACACTGCAAAATGACTTTATCGAACAGAAAACTTAATCAAACGTCGGAGGCCTCGCTTAATTAACCTCGCTTGATTGTTAAATATTGGGAAGTATCCATACCTACGATTTGGCCCACAAAACGATTGACCGTCTACCCCACCCCCCTCCACAATGATGTTGCACTGCTTATATACCGGCTATAGGTCCACAGAAAAACCGTATGCAAATAGATACGCAGATACGCGTCACACTCACCTATATTATTATTATGATAGTGTCGAGTCCGTTTCGGTGYAACTAACGGAATTTTCTGACCTACACCTGCTGCAGCACATTTTCATATTGCGTCACTCGGACGGTAGTGCAGCGTGTTCGGTGTAACAAGATTTTCTTTTATGCATATATATTATAAATTACTATAATATAATATATATTATATGTAGTTTTCGTTTTTTTTTTTTATTTTATAGAACAAGGTCTCTTCAATCGATAAATATAATATTATTATTATTAGCATAATATGCTGCTGCAGTAGTTCTCCATTACAATAATGAATAATTGTATGCAAAGTGTACGCCGAAAATCCGCGTGGCCAAGACGATAATTAACCAATTCACACAATAGTCCGCGAGTGTCGGGTAATCAGTTTAAAAAAAAAACTACAAAT